CTGGAGTCGACACCTCACCTCTGGTGTCACCCCACCGCCTCCTCCAATCTACTCACCGATGTTCCAGTCGTCCACGTGGGAGTCCTCAAACTTGTTCTTCTCCTGCTTCCCAGCTCCGGTGTTGCCATCCTCGTCAGTCGCGCACGCTGTCTGTCTGGTCTTCAAGCACTCCACACTCAGAATGATGTCTGTGGACCGCGCTTCCAAGACCTTGAAAGGTCTCATCTGAACGGCACTGACTGGGAGATCCAAGGTGTTCAGAGTGCTATTCCTGACAGAGCCGGTCTTGCTGTACCCTTGCGACCTGGGATGGGTCATGCACGGGGAGCAGTTCAGAGGCGGGTGGGCCGATCACAAGTATGGGCTCTTGGTTCTGTGACATGTTCTTGTCAGCCAAAATATGTAGGGATGACGAGCACTTACTCGCAGAAGGTATCCGCGCTGCCAAGCTCCAACAAATAGAGATGTGGTCCGTGCCTATCGCAGAGGATGATGGGAACGATGGGTGGAGGGGTCGGTAGATGATGTCCGGATTCAAGGTGCACAGCTTCAATATGCAATACACGCCCGCTCCAGAAGGCGGCCCGCACACTCAGATGAAAGAAGCTGGAACAAAAAACAGTCCATTTTGCTGGCAGAAACTCACTCGACTGCCGGGAGTGAGAAGACCTTGGAAGTGCACGCGCCCTGGTGGAGTGAACGAGGGTGTGCGGGCGCCGTGTCTGTAAGGAAGATGATCCCGCTAACCTCCCCGTGCAGCGCGAGCCTCCTGTATCACAAATCTCCGTAGACCTTACCTTTGAGAGCACACCGAGGCTCAGAACGAGAAGCGTAAGGAACAGTATAGGAGTCCGCCTATGCCACGCCATGGTGTCACACGAACCCGAGCAGGATTGTTTTGTCAACCAGATGGGTCCGCCGATATGTGTGAGGAGATTTGAGACATTTGGGGGATTGGATCAGGAATACGAACATATGTGTTGCTTGCTCTCTCTAATCCTCCCACCTCTTCTTTCCGGATGTGATGCACCTCCCGGAAAGGACACGACTGCACACCAGCTTCTTTCCTGCCGTCACAAGCCAAAGCTCGGCGATGGTAGAACCCGCGCTGGCTTCCCTCTCGGGCTCACTCTGATCCAAGAAACTCGCAAGAGCTTACATAACAATCTGCATGTAGGCCATTGTCCCTGCACTTACTGTTGTTGCAGAGTGTCGGCACTCGTCCTTTCCGTCCGGACTTACGACCTTTCAGGTTTTCAACTCAAAACGTGCTGCCCCTTCTCAGGTCTTCCTGCAGTAGGAAACAAGATACAAGGCTAAAGTTTTGAGGCATGCCGCGACATGTGCAGTAAGTAGGCACGCCTTGGACATTGGATGATATACGATGTGCATTCTCACATTTGGACAAGGGTGTCCAAAGGAACAAGACAAGATGGTGGCTGGTGAAGGATGGAGGTGTGGAAGGCTTGTCATGGGATGCTGACGCCAGGGCTTTGTATAGGCCTCAAGCTCATAGGTACGGCATGCAATACCCAAGTCTCAGGCACGACGAGGTTGTGCACATTGAAGAAGGGACAGTGCACTGTCCCTCATGATCTGACATGGGTTGAACATGGACTTCCGCATCCCTGCATGTGTGGTGGCGAGTTTTGGGAGGGCATCAACGTTGCCAACAGCATGGACCCCAGGCTCCCAAACCTCACCTGCAGAGATCTCCTGTACTCAGTTTGCTGCTGCCCAGCTGTACTTGCATCCTCCACGGTGGTGCTACAGATGCACTCCAGTACAAGATCAAGGTGTGTCCATGTCACCCAGGGCGGCTGGCGTGCTCCATGCTGCCTCTTAGCGCGCTGCGACAACTGGGCGTGCAACATCAGGGTTGTCAACCGGGATGTTAACGGGGCGTTCGACATTCTCATGTTGCTCAAGCTCTTTCTGGCTGGTGCGCCTCGCCCTGCAACTTTTGGTGGGCCCCCACCCTCGTCTTCCCCTCTCCCGTTTACCCCCCCTCCCCCCCCACATTAATCAGCCATCATGGCTGACCAAAACTAATTCCGCAGGGGCTGGAATCTGCAGAAGCCACCATGCAGCTGGCGTAAGCCCAGCACGGGTTCTTGTGGCATTTGGCAGTGCATATCTTTGGAGGTGCGATACTGATTGCCGCCCCACCACCAGCATGTGCAACGGCCGCAGTAAACAAGATGCCAATGGGCCGCCACAATCGGGGACATAATGCCGCTGGGCAACTTCATCGTCAACCAGGGCTGCATGAGCGGGGAGTGGGCGGCCGCATGAGGGTGCTGGGGCCCGACGCTGCTGGTCTCGAGGGGTCCAGCAATTCAAGGGTGGGTGTGGCGCATCCATCATCTCGCCTCAACTCCGGGCCGATGTCAGCATGCATTTCCTTGGGCTCATGCCCCTCTCACAGCTTCAGGACGAACTTGAAGGCAGCCGACTGGGCGCCCACGTCGCTCAGTGCCGCAGGCTCGTCGCATCCCTCGGCAGCGCCGCCAGACTTTGGCAAAGGTGCAGCCTCGCTGGGCGGGGCTGCATTGGCCTGGCCGAGCACAGGCTGATCGTCCCCGGAGATCGTGGGAAGAGCAGAGGGCAGGCGCAGCGTGATGCGTTGTGGCGCAGAGACATCATCTTCGGCAGGTGCGGGCCCTGTAGGGTGCAGGGAGGGATGTGACCCTGCGCAGGCCGTACATCTGGTGAACTGCATCAATCCTTGCACGCACGACGCATCCAGGCCCTGCAGTCGGTAACCATCGATGATGCCCCACATTCACTGGTTGTCCAACCACCCATTCCCTCACCGTCTTCCTCAGCATCCTCGACGGCCAGCGAGCCACCCAGCAGCATCCGCATCAGCGCGTGCAGTGCATGGCGCAGCTCGGGATCTACTGCTGCGCTTGCTGTGGCCTCCAGCTCCAAGAGGCACACGGGTTGCAAAGTCCCCTCACCGCCATCCAGACGTGGAGACAAGAGCGCCCCCAGTGTCGCCCCGGCGCACAGCAGCGCTCCGACCACAGAGGCCTTGGCATATGAGCCCCTGGCTACCCGCAGAGCGCGCAGCGCACCCGCCACGGCAGCCTCAGGCCCCCGCGCAGCAAGCTCGAGGCGGAGGCGGGCGGCGGTGGCCGCGGTGGCCAGCTCCGGCAACACGTCGCCATCTGCGATGATGGACGCCAGCGTGGCGCGCACGCGCCGCCAAATCTCATCGTCAGGAGATGCGCCTGGGCCGGACCCCAGCGTGGCCAGCGCGCCCACCACTGCCTGGCCCACGACGCCGCTGGGTGAGGGGCAGACCAACTCGCGATGTAGGGATCGCTCCAACAGCACCAGGGCAGCGTCTGTGAACTGCATGAGGAGTAATCTGTGCATCAGAGGGGACGCTTGCAGAGGCAGAGCTGGTTGGGTGCTGGTCGGCACCAGGCGGAGGCTGGGTGCATGCTCAGAGCCATCTGAATACCGAGCATCAAGAGCAAGGGATGCCTATACAGAGATAGCCATCAGGTCTAAGGACACGATGGCCGAGGTAATGCTTGACAGCAGTGCAGGCGCATAGATTGAGGGGCACCATGCGGCCCTTTCCACCCTCGCGCCCCTCCTTCCTTGTCAGCCAGTACAAATCCAGTCCTCACCCAGTCCTCACCAAGTCGTGCCGGATGTTGCCGACTGCACTGCACAGGGCCGCCAGCATGTCACTGGTTTCGTGTGCATTGAGATCACTTGGGAACTGCTCCAGAGCCGTGGACAGGAAGAGCAGCACGTCGATGGGTGTAGTGCCGTCGTCATCGCGTGAGAGGCCCACTGCGACAAGTATGAGTTAATGGGGTCATGCTGGCATCATGTTCTGGAGTCAAGCCACACCACGTGGAAAATCCTACACATCTCATGACAAAATGGCGCCGACAGCTGCAGAACACATTTAACACAGCACAAGAAGAACTGACGCAGCATCAAGCCCATCGCACAGGGATCCCAAGACGGGAGACACATTACTCACATGCGCGGATGATGGCCTGTCCCACAAGCTTCTCGCTCAGACTGTGTTGCGCGCAAGACACAGGCGCATCCAGTGTTGCATCCCAGAAGTGCTTTTTGTAGAATGCCAGCAGTGCAGCGATGCCTGTGGGGGGATGTGTTGCAGGACTGGCAGGGCATCTCAGGGCGCTATCAGCAGCACACCCATGACAACATGTCATGAGTCAGCGCCCTTTCGCCAGCACAGTATAAGCATTGCTCACCTTCTGGGACCCCTGCCCCTTCCGTCCGGCGCCCCAGTGCTACTGCGGCATCAGCGCGGACACGATGGTACACACTCTCGTCTGTGAAGCAGCGTACCAAGGCTGCGACTGCCGCCAGAGACGGATGCTGTGCCAGTGCCGCCACTGCTTCTGCCTGTACAGGTGACATAGAGTATGGATGCAACGATAAGATGCGGAGTCACACCTGTTCAGAGGTTCCTGCGGGTCTCAGAGTCCCGCATGCAAGCCCATGCTCACCTGGGCGACGACATCCCGGCTGTGCGCCAGCTGCGCGACCCAGCACCGGAGCGGCTGCTCCAGCCACACCGAGCACAGCCATTCCCCGCCTGGGTCGATGCGCACCCACTGCACCGGCTGCAAAGGATTCTCCACTGCAGCACGCATGGGCACAGCCAAGGGTTGAGGTGAGGGCAGAAAATTCTTCGAGCAGAGCTGCCAGGCAATCATATCGTGCGCACCGTCTGCAGCCTCTGGCAACCTCAGTGACTCTGCCAAACGCAAGGTCCACACCCAGATAGAAACACAACGTATGTGGACTGTCAAGGGTTGGATGCGTAATCCTATCGAAAGCCACAACACCCACCTCCTTCCAAGGTAGACAAGAGAGCCGCGCTCTCATCCTGCGCTTCCTCTTGCACCTTGCGTCGCTTGGCTCCTCGCCGACCGGGCACCTTCTTCACATCCGGGTTCACCTTGAGTTCCGCAAGTTTCCATGGCTCGGCGCCCAGGTGCACAGGGTGCTCAACCGCGGCCTCTGCCTCCTGCACGCTTACACGCAGTATTCCCACGCCCGCTCCTGCTGAGTCAGAGACACGAGTCGCTGCGGCAGCGGCCGCTGCTGCAGCGCGCGTCCCGCCCTCCTGCCGCAAGGCCAGCTCGAGGACGCTGCGTCGCTGCGGGCCCGCGTGGTAGACAAAGCCGGCGGTGATACGCGGGGTTCCAGAGCCCAAGACCCAGCGTGCGAAGAAGGCAGGGACGTCCTTACGAAAGCCGGCCAGCCTTCCCAGCTCCGTCACAAACTGTGTGGCGTCCAGTGTTCGTGAGGGCGGAGTAGCAGAAGTCTGAGAGGGTGCACCGGCGCCAGTCTCCGCTGCTTGCGTGGATGCTTCGGAGAGAGCTGCAGCCACTGAGGTTTGGACATGCTTGCGAAATAGATCCTCGCCCGCCCGCCGCTCCAACAGGCGCACTACCGCGGCAGCCTTTAAGGTAGTGAGGACGAGAGCATCTTTGCCTGTGGCATCTTGCGGTTTCTGGGGCAGGCGCAAAGGGCAGATCTTGCAGTCTGCCTGTATCTCCTTCGTATGCATGCTGCCTCCAACAAGCCAGACCCTTGGCCACACCGCCGACGACCCCACCACAAGAGAAGAAGCCGTCGTCACTTCCAGAGCGCCGAATCTGAGAGCTGCACGAGTCTCCCCTCAACCCCTTTCCCCCGTGCATCCAAGCATACCTTGAGTTCCATGACCTCTGAAAGGGGGAATGCGCCCGCCAGCAGCTGAGCAGCCGTCGCGGCACCACCAGGCAACTGGGACGCCAGGGGTGGAAGACTGCCGTCATCAGCGGTGCACACTGCAGCTGAAGCTTTCCATTTCCGATACTGCAGCTCATTGCGCCCCAGGTACTCGCGGATGAACTGGTCCACCAGCCAGGCTGCCAGCCCCGTCACCAGCCAGGCATCAGCTGGGCTTGCTGGGCGCAGGGCCAGCCCAAACACCTGCTTTGCGAATGCAGCGGCAAGCTCCAAGCGCGTGCCGGTGGCCCCCTCATCGCAGCCCCTGGTGACCAGGCAGGTTGTAGGGTGCACAGCCCAGCCAGGGGTGATGTGCGGTCGGGTGAGCACACCCGGGGGCACAAACACCTTGTGTGAGGTCAGGGGGTGGGGAGGGGATGAGACCAGATGAGCAACAGCATGCACCTGATGCACACGCCCCTGAAGAAGCCGCGCGGCACAGACTGTTGAGGCCGACGCACAGCCCCCAGGGAAAGCGCAGCCGGAGCAACCTCCCCACCTGGGTGTACTCCTCCAGTGGCAGTGGCACCAAGAGCTTGTCAGAATAGCAATCGTTTAGCAACCCCAGGAATGCCGCGGTGGCTTCGAGGCACTCCACAGCCGACTGTGGAGCATGCAGCACGATGCAGGGGTCGCCTGGCTTGGCAGGCGCCCGATGCCAGCGGCCATGGAGTGCGCCCGCGGCTATGCTCGGCGTGGCAGGCTGCGCCACGAGGTACTCGTACCTCCGCTGACTGCTGCCGTGCGCTCGACACTCCAGCATCTTGCCGGAGGCTACGGCCACATGGCCTTCCGGCACCACGAGGAATAAGCGGAGCGGTGTCTGGGGCCCAATCACATCCCGCCCGTCGCTGAGCAGTTCTGGAAACAGAGGCCGCGGCCAGGGACCCTGCACGAGGTGGACTCATGAGCTGATCAAGGAGGTGGGTGAAGCTTGACGGAAAGAGGGAGCATGGGCGACGACGAAGCCACCATCAAAGCAAGCTTGCAGACATCAACATGGCGGGACCAGAGACGCCAGGTTGCCTCAAGGCGCACCTGTGCAGGGCCTGCGCCAGCGCCGCCATGGCAGAGCATGGTGCCATAGTCATTCCGTAGACCGAAGCGGAACGCCACGGTCACGTGTGCATGCTGCAGAGGGGCGTCCAGTACACTGGGCATGGGAACAGACGCCACATGACCAGAAAGGTCGTCTTTGAAGTGGCGGATGTGTGCAGCAGTGACAGTCTCCAGTGAGGGAGCCTCCAAAGGCAAAGGTGAGTCGGCGCCTGCTTTACTGGGACTGAGTTGGACCTCCACGCCGTTCACCAAAACGCAGGTCACCGCCAGTCCAGCTGTCTGAAAGAGCAGGGCAGCTGTGCTGATGGGAACCTCCAGGCCGATCTCCGACCACCTGCACAGGGCAGTGGCAAGCTGTGAAACATGGTTCCTTCTCCGGATGCTAGAATGAGAGCACATTCCTCCTGCGCCGCACCCGGAGCAGGCCTGCTTGACTGTCGACACATTTAAGAACACAGTCTGGCTCAGTATTTTTACGCTAGATGGGTCCTGATCCCCAGGTGGGGCCATTTTCGATCAGTGCCCAGCTCCTGTCAAGTCGTCCCAGGCGGTACACCGCCGCACGCTCCATGTGCGAAGCCAACCATACTATTAAAGTCAACAGCAATCCATCGCTGCCCAAAGATCAAGCCATGGGCAGCGAGATTGGTTGTGTCCAAATCAGGCAGCGCCATTCGTCGAACAAGGCGCCAACCACATCTGGCTGGAGATAGCAAGGACTTCGGGAACTCAGCTGTTGGGTATATCCAGCTGCAGATCAATCGCGACAACTCCCTGCTCCTCAAGACCAGGACTGATTTCTGAGTGTATTGTAGAGGATCCCTGGTGTGCTTTGCAGGCATCATCACTTGTTCCAGTCTGCATCGGCTCGGCAAAGCCCAGGAATAGTCCAGTATTCGATTGCAAGAAGTGTGGTCGGGGACATTTGTGAGCAGCCTGGCGCAATCGAGTGGTGGGCATGGGCGGCATGTACACAAGATGGAGGACAAGCCAGTGCAGTACTCCTGTGAACGCTCCATGGCACCCCTGTCATAGGGCACGGCTGCAGGATCTTGTTACACCTGGAAGGCCACATGTCGGAAGAGGGCTCCTTCCACTGCTGTCAAGACTCCTGCGGCAGACAAAGACCCTGCAGAGCGGGACACTGCGTCGCCTCTGCCGCCATCCTCTTGTCCAGGGAGTGGAGGGCCTGCTCCCCATGGTGGGGACACCATGCCAGGTACCCCCTGGCTACCTGCAAGCGCATGGGACCCCGCTCAGTGGTCGTGCCTACGCCCTGAAGATGTGCCCGCGCCATCCCACTGGCAGGAGTGCACCTGCCAGGCACACTGTTCTTTGCAGGGAGAACCAGCAAGTGCCTTACGGAACGACGCGCAGAGCCGGGCCTCCAGGCTCGCCTCCCCTCCCAGATGAACAGCCCCCTCCACCGCACCGAGCGTGTCGGTTCGTGGCTGGCCAGCGCGCTGACGAAGTTCAGCTTGTAGAACTCTGGCTGGGTGCACCCGTACTCCGCCAGCAGGTCACTTTCCAGCTGCCTCCCTGGGGCGCGGGGGAGGGAGAATTCGGGTGAAGCACAGAGGCGGGAAGGGTTTGGAAGGGTCAGGCAGCATGCGGCAGCTTCGAGCCCAGGGCTCTGCCGGGCCAGGGCAGTGACTCATGAAGCATGCCTCGAGGCGCTCCAGCCACCCCGCGCCCCCAGCGGAGCGCCCAGGTGCCCCGGCGCCCAGGTACCCCTCACCCGCGGGGTGCTGCGCCACGACGAGGGCGGCGTGCGCAGAGAGCCAGGCAGAGGCGCCATGAGAGCAGGCCTGCAGGGCCGCCTGCGCATCCAGCCCCGCGCAGGCCGTCAGGAGGGCCAGCGCGCGGGCCGACAGAGCGGCCGCCGCATCACCCGGCCCGGCGGCCGGCGGCGGCCGCGCCGCCGCCGCGGCGCGGACGAGGTGCAGCAGGTCCGCCGCGTGCCCCACGGCGGGGTGCCCGGCCAGCAGCCGCGCGACTAGCAGCTCCGGCCAGGAGGTCGCCAGGCGGCTGCTCTGCTCCACATCGCCCGCCATGCAGGCCAGCAGGGCGCGGCAGGGCGCCTCGTGCTCCCCCTCCCACAGCGATCCTCCCCAGCACCAGGCGGACTGCCCCTGCCAGCGCGCGCGGTACGACAGAAACTCCTCCGCGCCCGACAGCTCCTGGCCGGCGCCAGAGTCGGCGGCGCTGCGGCGGGGGCTGCCAGCCGCTGCGCCCGCGCCCGCGAGGCGGGGGAAGCAGCGCAGCAGGGAGGCCACCGCGTCCAGGGACCTGATGCGGCCGGCCAGGGCGGGGTGCAGCGACCCGCCGGACTTCCACGCAGCCCAGGCGGAGTGCAGGCCCAGCAGGCTCAGGGCGTCGGCCGTCCAGCCTAGGCAGACGAGGCGCTGCGGCAAGTTTGAGAGAGTGGAAAGGGTTTGGGTGTGTGGATGGAGAGACCAAGTCAATCTAGCTTTGACATCGGCATTGAGGTTCCTTGATGACCTCCAGTGCTCTTCCCATGCGGGTCTCTGTCACGCGGGCCCCGACGGTCCGGGGTGTAGAAGTCCAGTCCTGGCGCCAGGCCAGCAGTCTCAAGACAGACCCACAGGGTGGTGACACCGAGGCAGCGCCCGCTGTCGCGGCGGCATGCGCGACGAGCGCCCCAGATTCCCATTCTCGCACCTGAAGCGTCTCCCAGTAGCCTTCCGTCAGCTCTGGGTAGTCGGCCGACTCAAAGGCGGCGAGGGAGGCGGGGGACAGCTGCCTGCCGCCTTCCCCAGCCAGGAGCACAGCAGCATTGACCTGAAGCCAGCTGGCCAGCTCCTGTAGGCGGGAAGGGAGAGAAGAGTCCCCCATGATCCAGGCTGAGACTCTCGTGACAGGGCGTGCAGTCAGGGCTTACTGGACCCCTCTGGAATAAAGAATGCTGCCCGGTCCACAACATGCACCCCCAGCTGTACCAAGCGCACCCTCTCCATGCCCTTGCCTCCCACCCTGCCCTGCATAAACACCGAGTCCCTATATCCCCCCCCACACACTGGGGAAGGCAGCGCACCTGTGAGATGAGGCGGTCTGACTCTCCCATGCCGCCAAAGAAGAGGGAGAGTATTGTCCAGAGAGCACGCTCCTCTGCGATGAGCTGTGCCTCCTCATCGAAGAGCCTGCCCAAGTTTGAGGGACCACTGGGATGGACACACTGTGGCCGATAAGCTTCTGGGAATCACTAGAGGAGCTGGGTGGCAGGTCTTGAGGTGAAGGGCAATCAAAGCAGCTGCCTTCCCCCCCTTACTCTTCGTCGTCAGGGAGACTTGCGTCCATGATGGCCCCGACGTCGGTACAGAACTGCTCTAGTTGCGCCGGACGCAGAAGGGGATCACCCTTGACCTGCTCACACTCTACGTACTTGACGTGCGCGTCGTAGATGATGCGGCGGGATATGGGCCCTGGGCAGTCCCTGCAAGGGTGAAGGATGAGATGTGCGCTCGACTGATCCATGACGCAGCGTCCGAAAATGTCCCTTGCAAGATAAGATGGACGATTCGCTGCTTCCCTGCGTCAATCTCATTGCCCAGAGTGTACGGCCAGCCCAGGTCTGCTCACCACTGTACTGCCGTCGAGGTGCTCTCCTCATCCCCAAGCTGACCCTCAGAGGAGTTTACCGCACAGCAGTAAAGCTCTGATCCGGGTCCCCAGCTGAATCTTAGGCGCTGGTGGGATCCACAAGGCACTCTAACGAGCTCCGTTGCCATCGGAAAGTGTCAACACTATTCCTTGGCAGCCCCAGGATCCCGTCTGTCACACGACTTTGCCGGGAGGCGGCATCAGTTGAGAAGGCAGGTATGGTATCCGGTCCAGGCAAGTTTCCTCTAACATCTCGTGAGGCGCGGATGAGGCACTTTGTCTTTTCGTAACGCAAGCGGCAACAGCACCAAATCGCGCGCTCTGAGATTCGCATGCTGGGACTTGTGGATCAGGATTCCCCCTACGGAAAACCGACCCTCCTGTTCATGCTGTAGGTCCGAGCTGGGAAAATGTCGAGCTTTTCAGATTCGTCTAGAATATAGCATCCCAACTGAGGTTTCTGAGGGCGCCAGCAAGGACGCGACGCTGAATTCAATAGGTTCTCAGACCAGGGCGCACGAGGCCAACCACGGTCGCGCACACTGAACACGCCCTGGTTTGGGAGCCGCAGCTCAGGAGGCCATACCGCCCATGGCAGGATACGCCACCGTGTCTGGCGTGGCCAGAGCATGCATGCCAGCATCCTCCCTGAAAGGAAGAGTAGTGCTGCCCCCTCCAGTGCTCGGGCACATCCCCCCCCATGGGTACGAGCAGGAAGGCGCATGCCTGGGAGCCTGATGCGAACCATGGACCTACCTGTGCTTGGCTGCAGGCCAACTCCGCCGCCTCCACAATGTTCTGCAGGCGTGCCAGCAGAGGTGTCCGAGCCGTGGAGCACAGAGCAAGCCGACCCTTCCAGGCAGCTCACAGGACGCCAAGAATGACGGTGAGGTGGGCACAGGGCCTTTACTTGAGTGTTGCACAGCAGGCCATTCAAGCAGGGCGCAGGGCCTGTGCACCTGACTCTCCACCATCTGGCACTCCAGGTTGTCCGGGCTGCGGCGGACTCTCCAGAGGGCCATTCCGTACAGAGTTCGAGCGTGAGCTCTGGCATCAAATTGAAAGGGGTAGGAATACAGATTGAGGATGTTGTTGCACCTGTGTGAGCGAGCTGGTGACAAGATCTGGCGTGCTGCAGGGTTCAGCATGCTGGGGTCCTGCCCCTCCCTGCCCCAGATCACCAAGACTTTCAAGGGCGAGACAGTCTTGCATGACGTGACATGGGAGGTGAAGAAGGGTGAGAAAGTTGGTCTCATTGGCGTCAATGGCGCAGGGAAGACGACCCAGCTGCAGGTGACCTGAGGGGCTTGCACAGCGGAGGTGTTTGGGGGACTCTGGGCGGGGCCACTCTCAAGCTGAGACTTTTCGTGCTGAATGGGAATGTTCACCACACTGCGCCCTGGAGCACAGTTGCCCTCCTCGCACAGAGACCTGTTGTTTTGCCATGGCTTGCTACCCCCCATGAGCCTTGGTTCTTACGGTTGTCTGCCATGGACAAGGAGTCAACCTGTGAGCATCACCCAGACCCCTCCCACCCACACCTGGCTCAGATCATCACCGGCAAGATCTTGGCGGATGGCGGGGAGGTGATCAAGGCGCGGGCCGACCTGCGTGTCGCCATGCTGTCCCAGGAGTTTGGGGTGCAGTTGGGGCGCACACTGCGCGAGGAGTTCCTGTCGGCGTTCGAGGAGGCTGTGCAGGTCGGTGAATGAGCGAGGAACTTTCATTCCGTCATGGGATTGGGGGGTTGGGGTCGGGAGGGCGCACAATGTCTTGGCGGCTGGGAAGGCACTCGTTCCTGGGAGGCCTGGGGAATGCAAGGCATGCTGGCCTCACCCAGCCAGCTCCAGGGCCTGGCCCCACCCGCGACATGCATGTGCACCAATCGTGGCACCTTCCCCCTTCTCCCACACAGAACGCCAAGCGGCAGGAGGAGATCCAGGCTGCTCTGGAGAACGTCGGGGAGGACATGGATGCCATGGGCGATTTGCTAGGTGGGTGGGGGCGGCCATCCAGGTCCAGGGGGCCGTGGGACCACGGAGTGGCCTGCTCCCTGCGGAGATTGGGTCGCTCTCCCCTGCCTCCAGACTCCCACACCCTGCTCCGCACCGCGCAGACGAGCTCACACACCTGACCGCCACGGCCGTGGAGCTGGACACCAGCCTGATAGAGAAGCAGACCCAGCAGATGATGGCCAAGTTGGGGTTTAGCCCGGACGACTCGGAGCGCCTGGTGGCCTCCTTCTCCGGTGGCTGGCAGATGCGCATGTGCCTGGGCAAGATCCTGCTCCAGGTGTGAGGGGTGCCTGGGAAGGCGGGCGCCGGGCTGGGCGGCGGGCGCCGGGTTGAGAATGGGATTCAGGGGGTGGTGCGGAGCACCTGCGGGCGAGGAGGTGCTTCCTCGTGCCCGGTCAGGGTATGGAAGAGCCATCTGCGCCTGGACTTGGGGGCACCAGACGCATGCACCGCCTCGGGGTTGCTGGCCTAGCGAGCCTCTGGCCCGTCTCAACTGCCCACACCCTCCTCCATGGCGCATCTGCCGACGCAGGACCCAGACCTGCTGCTGCTGGACGAGCCCACCAACCACCTGGACCTGGCTGCCATCGAGTGGCTGGAGGGGTACCTGAGGGAGCAGGAGATCCCCATGGTCATCGTGAGCCACGACAGGGAGTTCCTGGACCGCCTGTGCACCAAGATCGTGGAGACGGAGCGGGGTGTCACGCAGACATACAAGGGTGCGTCTGGTATGGGGAGCCTGCCCTGCTGTGGGTGGGTGTGAGGCTGTCAGGCAAAGAGGATGGGCAGCCCACACGATGCATTGTTGCGCGTGGCGGCTATGGAAAAGGGGTGTTACGGCAACGCTGCAGCATCTCTGCGCCCGGCAGAGTGTCAGCATGGAACAGACCCCAGCCGCGCTCCCATGCCTGCAGGAAATTACTCGGCATATGTGGCCCAGAAACGCGAGGCACAAGCCCTGCAGTGGGCTGCTTGGGAGAAGCAGCAGAAGGAGATGCAGCGCCAGGCATGGTGTTGCTGGATGACTGGGGGACTGCCTGGCTGTGTGGTGGGGAGATCTCGGAGTTCGAATCCCTCACCTATCTTTGCTGGCCAGAATCCCAGCGACTCATGCGACCAAATTCAGCCTGGCATGCATCCCTCCCATGCGCGCAGAGCGACATCGTGGCACGGTTGAGCGCCGGGGCGCGATCTGGGCGCGCCTCCACCGCTGCCAAGGCGCTGGAGAACCTGAAGTCGGAGGGCGTCGTGGTGGCCAAGCCGTTTGTGCCCAAGCGCAGGTGGGGAGGCCGGCTGGGGGTGCAGGGAGGCCAGGTGTGCATGCATGCTGGCCGCAGGCTGGGATCATGAGGTGGAGAGCACATGAGTGGGAGGTGCATCACAACTCTGAGTGTTGCCCGCCCCCATCGTTCACTTGCTGATGATGGGGGCGGGCCCCTGTGGGACCCCGGGGGGATGCACAGGGCCTTTGCGGTGCTGGCGTCCACTGTGCCACGCTGGTGCGAGGAGCATAATACCACTGGAGTTGGTGGCTCACCGCCGCCTCTCCTGTCTGCCATCCTGCAGGCATTTCACCTTCCCCAATGTGGAGCAGATGGGACTGATGGCCCTGCAAATACAGAATCTGACCCATGGGTATGACGACAACAAACTCCTGTCCAAGGTCAACCTCGTCGTGGAGAGGGGGGAGCGTGTGGCCCTCATCGGGCCAAACGGTGAGCTGTGTGCCTTGCATGTTTGTTGGGGAGGGGGCGCCCTGGGGTGTGTCAGGGCTCTTCCTTTCTGCATCGGAGGAGGAAGGCCAGAGCATTTCCGGTCGCAGCCTGCTCCTGTCCTGCCCTCCTCCACTCACACACTGCCCCACTCCCTTCCCCATCTGGTCCAGGCGCCGGCAAGTCCACCCTCCTCCGGCTGATCCTGGGGCTGGAGAAGCCCTGGTCTGGTACCGTGGAGCTGGGGCAGCACTCCATCGTGCCCAACTACTTTGAGCAGAACCAGGCCGAGGCCCTGGACCCCAATATCTCGGTCCTTGAGACCCTGGAGAGGTGGGCTGGTGCAGTGAAAGAGGGGGAAGAATTGGGTGGCATACGCGCGTGCGCAGGCGCTGAGCCTTGCAGATGGCGAGGAGGGGGAAATCGTGCAGCTACCATGAAGTTCCGTCAACTCATATCCACTCGCTTGTCTGCCTTGCAGGGCTGCGCCGGACGCTCGCATGGATGATATCAAGGCACTGCTGGGAAGGATGATGTTCACCGGGAGTGCACAGGAGAAGACGGTACGTCGAGCAAACTGAGCGCCTCTGGATGTGGCCAGAGAATGGGGATGGGGCCTGGAGGAGAGGAAGGTGCAGTGAGGGCTGGGTGTGGGCGGCCACAAGGTGTGCAGATGCAGGTGCACGGCTATAGAGACCCAATTATTCACACCCACACCTACAGGTCAAGTGGCTCAGCGGGGGCGAGAAGGCTCGACTTGCCCTCGCAAAGTTCATGCTGACAAAGGGAACCCTCCTGGTGAGATTAGGATGCATGCTGGAGCTTTGGGTGGAAACAGGAAGGTGCAGGAAAGGTTTCCCTGCGTGCCATCCCTGCTTCCTGACCAGCTGGCCAACACCATACCTGATGCAGGTCTTGGACGAGCCCACCAATCACCTGGACATCCCGTCCAAGGAGACCCTGGAGGAGGCGTTGCAGGCGTTTCAGGGTGAGTTGTTATCATTTGGGGGTGGTAGGGATATGAGGCTGTGTAAGAGGTTGAGTCTGCGCTGGACCAACCCCTCTGACGTGTGCAGCAGGCAGGGGCAGTACCTGGCCGCGCAACCCTTGTTTGACAGCTGTAGCCTCCCTACTATCTCACAGGGAGTGTGGTGGTCGTCTCGCATGACCGCTACTTCCTGAAGAAGGTCGCAACTCGGGTCGTCGGCGTGGGAGGAGGCAAACTCACTGACTATCAAGGGGATTACGAGGTGCGTATTTCTGTCTCGAGGAAGAACAGGTCTTGCAGGGATTCGTGCATGGTATGGGCTTTGCTCTAGAGCCACCTGAATCTGCTGGCATCATGCGCTGGACGCTCAGTCCGGGCATATATCGCCGTGTGGCTTACCCATACCCTCCATGCACCCCCATTGTGTGCAGTTCTTCCTGTCCAAGAACAAGGAGGAGGGGAGCATCATGAAGGCAAAGGCCGAGCGGGACCGGGACCTGGAAAAATCCCAGATCAAGGCCAAGTCAAAGAAGACCAAGGCAGAAAAGGTAGGGCTTGCTGTGTTTGGTTGGGACTTGGTCATCTTATTGCTTGACTGACGAATGCCACAGCGGACCACATAGCCACATTGTGGGACGAGCAAAATAACAGTCTCACAAGCAGCGCGGCCTCTCCTCCACCTTATCCAGATGCAAGAAAAGAAGGCCAAGGCTCAGCAGTACAGCAGCGGCGCAAACTCAGCCAAGAAAGCAACCAAGAATGCCAAGCGTTGGGCGTGAGTGGCAGGTGCCCCCTGTGGTGTTTGTTTCGCATCCTGCCCATCTGTAAAATACTCCTTGGGAAGGCTTGAGTGGCACAGCACAGGACGGCAGGTGTGGACCCTACCTGAGCAGTGATCACCGTGTGCCGCAGTTGTAAATACCTCCGCCGGTCCATCCGGAACACCGTTTAGAGCATTCCTTTGGGACGAGCACGAGCTGGAATGTGTTCTGGAAAACAGATGTTATATGCTCCTCACCTGCCGCATGGTAACCACTTCCATATCCAAAATTGTCAACGTTCATCACAAGTTCGCGAAAGGTCTCCGGTTCGAACCCGGACGAAAGCAGTGCACAAAGCTTTCGTGGTGTAGTTGGTTATCACGTTCGCCTCACAATATCCAGGCTTTTTGCCCCATTGCAAAACAATACCACTTGTGCCAGGCCCCTGCACGAGCGCGCATTCTTACGAGGTCGCCTAGGGGGCGGGAGAGGTAGCGATTTCTGGGGCCACTCTGTCTCCCGGCCTCGAGAGTTCTCGAGGGACCTGCGCTGACAATGTGCAACGTAACCTGCAGACTGTCCAGAGCAAAGGCCGTTACAACGTCAGTGGATGGGTATTGCATCCAGGCAAGCAGGTGTCCCTTGGTCCAAGTTTGACATGGGAATAGGTAACGTCGCATGATGGGTGGCGTGATGGGGTAGCCACAGAATCCAGACCATGTGCTGGTAGCGGACGAGGAAACAGGGCATGACAGAACGATCCATCAAGGAAGGGTAGACCAACAGGGGTAATGCTGTGCATGACCAGTGGAGTCCTTTTACATGCATGGTGTGTCACAGCGATCGCGCTGCCAGCACTGGCCGTCCTGCAGCCAGACACAATTTGCTGCCACCGCTCATGCGCCACTTGAGATTGGTCCTGAAGGGTGTGGCGAGGCACCACACACCCCTGTCAGCCCACACCATTTCCCGCCAGCGATTGGCACCCTGGGTACATCACTGGCTACACTCATGGGGTCAGTGGGCAGATACATTGGGTTGCCCGCGCATCAAGGCTGTGCTGGGCAGAGCTGACAGCATGGCGAGTTCAGAGCGTCGCATTGCCAAGGCAGGGGTGGACCGACGCTGCAAGTTTGGGGGCCCTGCTATGAGTGGGCGCCCATGTACCGTGCCAGGGTGATGATGTCACCAAACACGCCCGCGGCGGTGATGGCAGGCCCCGCGCCGGGGCCCCTCACGATGAGCGACGGGTTGCAGTACCGGGAGGTGGTGAAGGACACGATGTTCTCAGTGCTGGTCAGGCCCGCAAAGGGGTGGCTCTTGGAGAATCGGCGTGGACCGACCTGCAGGCAGGGAGCACAAGGGTTGGGAGTCGGATGAGGGGATATCGCAGGGTGGCTGTGTGCCTGAAATCGACACTGGATCACACAGGGGAGGAAGGGTTGAGCACCCACTCCGGCCCCGGGGCATCGCTTCATCAGGGATACGATGCTGACAACCCCCCATCCCTGCCGCGGGCCAGACCTGACACACTCCGCTCTCCGCGTCGTAGGAACCCACGTAGCGCAGCACCTCCCCCGCATCGTCGACCTCCCTCAAGCGCGCCGCCCACTCATCGTCAAACTGCAGGTGGGGGGGGGGGGGGGGCATGTGAGGAGTGGAGCTGGAAAGACGACCTGCTCATAGGCTCGTAGGACCCCCGGGGGAGAGCTGGTCCGTGCCGCAGGTTGATGCCGGCTGACTCACCCCCAGCCTACGGGCAGGCGCCCTGCCTCGACACCCTGCCCTGCCAGCATGATGAGGAGGGCGGCCCGACCTCAAGTGCCCCGTCTGTGTCCACCGGCCCACTCCCCACCTTGGCGAGCTCCGTCATGAGGTCCCCCCCGTCCTCCAGATTCCGCAGCGGTTCGGGCACCAGGCTCTCCGTCGGCACGTCGGACAGCTCCAGCTCGGCGCCGCACTCACGCGCCAGGGTGATGATTTTCCGAGTCACGTCTGTGCCTGATGAGGTGGAAGGCAAGGAGGGTGCTGCGATGAGTGCTGCGTCGTTGCGCAGGAGGTGATGGAGGGAGGGCACATGGTATGGAAGATGATCTGTGCACCTGCTGGTCCACTCGCCGCCATGCCCACCAAGGCAGCAGCACAGGGAGGAGCCTGTTCCTCACCATGTCACTCAGTCGGTGCCTGACCGTGGCAGGCACTGGCAGACTTCCAGGCATGCCTTCATCTCCACACGTCGAGCCATCCATCCATCCTAAATCGGGAGTAGCCCCAGACCAGGACAACCCCGGCCACCCACCGGAGAGATCCTCTCGCGCGTCCGGCTCCGTGTAGCCCCTGCGCTTGGCACTCCACACCACTTCGCTGAATCGATCGCCCGGCTTCATTGTGTTGAAAATGTACGACAGCGTCCCACTGCGATGCGAGTCGGGAGGGGGCCAGGTAAAGTCAGGGTTTGGACTGGCAGTGCGAGCAGGTCTGGGCATGGGCGGGGCTGGGCATGCACGAGGACATGATCTCATGGCACTGAAGCACGAGTGCCGTCACCCACAAGGGCCACACTGGGAGGCCCACGCCGTCACCCACCCGCCCCCAGCCCCGCTCACCTGAGCACCCCCTCGATGCGCAGGATGTCGTCCCCGGTGTCGAGCAGCGTCTTCAGCGTGGAGATGATGGGCAGCCCCGCGCCGACCGTGCCCTCATACATGTAGTGTGCCGCCCCCGCCGCCTGCAGCGTCTTGACCGCTCTCCAGGCGGGGTATGGGCCCGAGTTCAACTTTTTGTTGGGGGTGACGACGTGGATGCCCTGCGTGAGGTGGGGGACGCGGGGCGAGTTCAAGGGGTGGCGAGCGCACAGCAGCCAGGGGTCGCGTGTGGAGCAGGAGGGAGAACGGTGCATGTGCACCACCACCTCCCAGCCCCAGCTGCTCATCGCAGCGCAGCCACCACCAGACCCGGGCAGGGGTGCACACTGCACCTGCTCCATCCACTTTGGGTAGAACTTGGGGATGAGCGAGGAGGCCGTGCAATCTACAATCAGGCGATGCGGGGTTTCAGAGGCCTTCAAGTGCTCTGTCAGCACTCCCAGGCTGGGGTCCGTTCCCTGAGGCAAGGTGCGGGCGCGTGAGAGTGTTGAATGAGCTTGCACAGCCGGCGTCGGGCGTCTGACAGCAGGTCCAGGCGGGGGCACCTCGGAAACCAGGGTTGGCAACCCTGCCCCCCGCTGCACCCCCTGTCTCTCTCACCTTCTGGATGACCTCGTCGTCCCAATTGGACAGGTCTATGGAGGGTGTGTTCTTGGCCAGGAGCATCTGTTGGGAATTCAGGATGCTCCTCACCTCCAGCGATATCCCCTCCCTCTCAAGCTTGGGAATCTATCGCGGGCCGAAGCAGGGAGCAGGGTTCCATGGGCTCTGAGATTCTCGATGCGCTTGCCTTCGCTCCCTGGGAAGTAACAATGCAGCATCGCCCGCTGCATGCCCCGCCCCACGTGTGTCGGACTTCACCCCACACCCCGGCACGCACCGCGACTCGCAGCTGCTCCAGGAGGGCCTTGCCCACGGCTCCGGGGCCCACCAGACCCACAGCCAGTGTCAGCTCAGACAGGGCTTTGCGGTTCATTGGAGCCCGTCGACCTCAGCCGGCCGCTAACCCCCGGAGCCTGGCAGAGGGGCCTCCTCTGACACCTGGGTTTGGTGCTATTGCACGTCAGGGCCTGCAGATTCTTGCGATAAGAAAACCTCGTGTGATCCCGTCCAGAACTACAAAGGGAGATGGAGCAACATCGAGAAATGGGTCTGAGAGGTGATCGGACTCGACTTTAGTTGAGCAGCCGATGCCGACGAGGATATGCCGAGTACATATGGAGGGGGGTCCCCAAACCCACCTCACCGGAAGCTCAGTGCTTGGTATTACAGAATGCACATGTCAAAGACACCGTGACAGTTTCAAGGATGTTTGTGATGCCTTGCTTTGCAATGCAGGCTCGGTGTAGAGGGAGTTATTCAGAAGAGCGTGCAGCAGAACACGAAACGCCATCCACCAGCTTGCACGAGGGCGTGCGATGCAGATGGTCCTCAGAGCACACTCGTGCCCTCACGACAAGCTCACATCTGACCCTCGCCGCCAGCCTGTGCCGCTTTGATGACCTCCCTGAGCCTCTGAAAGGCAGGGAGTGACCCGTGGTCGACCCCCAGCTCTTGGATGTGGCTTGCAAAGGCCTGTAGGATGGAGGGGTGCAGGGTGCCTGGGCTGCAGGTGCTGTGGAGCGCTTGGCGCAATGTAGAGTATGAATGTTGATCCGAAGCCAGAGACACAGATTGATGCCCCAGCGCCATGTAGCAGAACTCGCTGCAGCCAGCAGAGCAATCTCTTCCCCATCCCCCCACTCCCGCCTACCTGAACATCCAGGTCCAGTTGCAACAGGATGAGCGCCTGGGTCTCCAGTCCAGAGCCCTTGCTCGTATCTGCAGGCCCGGCGTGCACGAGGGCGGGGCGCAGGTCAAGCACGCAGGCCCATTTGCGAACAAGGGCGCAGTTGCGCACAAAGAAGACGAAAACGCACATCCCAGTCCTGGATGCGCCCAAGCCATCGTATATGGACGTTGGCCAGGCGTGGAGGGCAGGGGATCTCACCTCTGCCCTCCATACCCACAACAGCCACCCCGAACGTTGCGGACTCCTTGAGCCCCCCCCACACACCAGCATGGCTCAATCTCCCACCTTCGCCATCGGCCATCCGCTGGCGCGACTTGAGGCGGCGCAGGGAGGACTCCGTCTTCTCCAGCGCGGCCAGGGTGTCCGCCGCCAGCGAGGCGTAGGCACCGGCCACGCCCTCCGCCACCTCCCTCGCCAGCCGCGCGGCCGCGTCGGCGCCCAGCAGCCCCGCGTGTGCGGCCAGGAAGGCGGCCAGCGGCGCCAGGAGGCGGCCCGCATAGGGCGACGGCGCGGCCGGCGCGCGGCGATTGGCCATGCGGAAGCTGGCCACGATGCCGCGCAGCTGGGACAGCGCGGCGGTGCACTCCTCCGCCAGCGCGGCCACCAGGCGCGCCCGCGCGCCCTCCCCCGCGGCCGCCAGGGATTCGGCCGCCACGGCCGCCGCGCGCGCGCAGGCCTCGCAGGCCTCCCCGGGGGTCCCGGGCCCCGCCGCCGGGGCCCAGCACGCCTGCGCCGCCTCGCCCAGCGTCGCCAGGTCTGCCAGCAGGCGCGCCAGGGAGACGTTGGAGGGCGGGGATGGGGGAGCGCTGGGTGCGCCGGGAGCGCCGGGAGGGCCGGGTTCGCTGGATGCGCCGGGCCCCCCCCCCCCTACAGACCCCTCGGGGCCCGGGGCGGCGACGTCGCGGACCCAGGAGGCGTAGCGGGCCAGGGACATGAGACCCAGGCGGAAGAAGCGGTCTGCCAGCCGGGGCAGGGACGAGCCGGGGTTGGCGCTGGCAGCCAGGGCCTGCCAGGTGGCGGCCGTGGCGGCCAGGTGGAAGGCGGGGGAGGAGGGGGAGGGCGGCGCCGCCTCGTCCGCCAGCCCCGCCTCCCCCAGTCGTCGCTCCAGGGTCCCGGCAATGTCCTACGATTTAGGGGGACAGGAGGATGAGCAGGTGCTTGGGTGGGGGTCTGCGAGGTTCCACACTGCCCGGGGCGAGCGTGGCGGCCCACCGACTGAGCTCAGGGACCGCCGCTGCCTGCCATGCTGTTTCAGCCTCTCATTCCTACTCGGCAAACGACCCCACACACTCCAATCACACAGCAATGCCGAGGCGTGACCTCTGCAAAATCGGCCTCATGTTGCCCACAGCCCATGCAGTGCTCAACCCCCACATGTCCTGCGGGCTACACACAGCGCCAAGGGGTAGCGGGCTGGAACACCGCCTCGGCATTGCCCGCGGCGTGAGCTCCAAGCCCGACAACCCTACCCCTCCCCACAGGAGTCCCTCCATGTGTCCAGTCCCAGCACCCACCTGGAACTGGAGCGAGAAGTAGACAGGCAGGTTCCAGAGCTTCATGAAGGCCGAGTAGGGCTGGCAGGCCCTGAAGCGCGCCACCTGGGCCTGGGCGGTGGCGTGGGACTCCAGGGCCTCCAGGAAGGCGTCCCCCGCCCGCGCCCCGACGTGGAAGGCGTGCGGGACGCCCGGGCTGAGGTCCGCGCCGCACCGCGCCTGCACCGCCTCCAGGACCTCGGCCAGGACGCCGTTGCCCAGGAACTCAAAGGCATGCACGCCGGAGGAGGTGGCCATGGCGTGCGCGAGGAAGGGGCCCAGCTCGTCCGCCATCCCCCGCGTCAGGGCCTCCAGGAAGGCGGGCAGGGGGGCGGCGGGTGGCACAGCGGCCGGGGCTGCTCCTGAGCCAGGACGCTGGGCAGGCGCAGCGGCGCCGGCAGCGCCGGGGGTGGTCTCCCTCAGGGCCGCCAGCGTCTGCTCCACCAGTGGCCGGGTGAGGGTGCTTCGAACCACCTGCGGCACGTGGAGAAAGCATGCGCTTGTTGAGCATTACTGTCCATTGGGCGGCAGCTGTTGGGATTTGGGCGGATGAGCACAGAACCGGTCCTGCGAGTGGGCGGTCACAACCCCCGCTGCATGATTGCGTGCGCACCCTCCTAGGGCAAGCTTTTGCAGCAGCGTTGCATGCTCGGCATGCATGCTGGGCAACCACCCTGCAGCAGCGCAGGGGCTCAAGGGCAGCGGCTTGTTCACACGCAAGCACCCGACTGCCCAAGACCTTGCTTTACCAGATCCCCGAGTCGGCACCTGCTCAGCCGCCTGGGGACGGTTGATGCTCGCATAGGAGTTGAGGCAGGCCCCCAGTGCAGTGGGGACCTGCTGGCGGATGGCTGCCTCCAGCGCGAGGTCCAGGTATGTCTGCCAGGGAGGTTGAGGGAGGAGGCGTGGGAATGCAGGCCCCCAATCATTCTGCCTGATATTGTCCGAGCGCACTGAGGGCCGGCGGCTCCTCGTGCCATGGCGCATACACTCCAGCTCAATCCCTCGCATCGTGCGTGCGTGCTGAAGTGTGCGCCCCAAACCCCCCAGCCTGCGACAGGATCTGCAGGCCAGGAACCATGCAACCCCACAGCCGCCCTCCCCAGGCACCTGCAGCCTGTCTGCGGCGGCAACGATGCGTGGGGCCAGGGTCTGGACAAAGGCCAGATCCTGCCCCTTCTTGACCTGGTACTGCAGACGGGCCACCTCTGCCGTTACCCGGTTCAGCACGTGGCACTGCCCCTCCACCGCCTCGGGGCTGCTATGCTTGCCGAGGAAGGCGTCGCCCGGGGGTGGGAGCTCCGCCAGCAGCTTGTCGACCTTCGACAGCACATGGGTCAGGTCCTGCATCAGCTCCAGCAGGCCTCTGCTGGCGGCCGCGTCGGCGCGGGCGGCCAGGCCCCGAGTGAGGGCGTGGGACTCTGCCAGCAGTGCATCGCGGGTGGCGCTGGCGCGCGCCTGGGATGTGGAGTGGGGAGGGAACCGGACGTAAAGTTCCGGTGTTGCATGTCTTGGAGGGAGGGAAAACTAGAAGGAAAGCGCGGCGTTGGGCAACCTTCCTTTCCAGGAGGCTCCAAGGGCAGCAATAGTGGAGCCTACCATGGCGCCCTGCCCGGTATCCCTGCGCCCACTGCGATGACCCTTTTCCCCCTGACAGCTCATGGCTCATGAGGCCGGGCTGTCGGTGTATCTTGGTGGATCACCACATACATGCCACCAGGTAGGGTCGAGCAGGCATCCCCTGCACAAACACCTCCCTAACACGCTGCCCACCTTCACCACGGCCAGAGGCCCCTCGATGCGCTTGACCGCGCCCTGGACGCTAGTAAGTCGCGAGGTGAGGTGGAGGAAGCCTTCGTAATCTTTGTTGATGACCTCTACCAGATCCCCGTGTAGCACGGAGAGGTGGGCCTGGAGCTCTTGGTGTAGCACTTCGAGTGGGACCTGTTGGTGGCCAGTGATCCGCGGAGCATGATCCAGGCGTGTCGAGGACGTTTTAAATACATACTCCAAACATACACACCGATCCACGTACATACTGCTGCAGATCAGCCACGTAAGTCGCCGCACTGAAGGCTGGGTCGGCAAACTCGCCGGGCTTGAACCAGGCGGGCAGGGACCTGAAGCGTGTATCTTGACTCGCGACAGTCATCCTTCCCAGTCAAACATGAAGGAACTCCTAGGACTGGGCCATGTCATGAGCTCGGTGCACGACAGCCGGATCGGGGGCAATTCATGAGCGTGCCACCTCAGCCGCGGGTGCCCACCGAACTGAGGTGTAGCCTCCCGCCCCGTCCTTTGATCTGGGAGGGAATCGCAATGTTCCATGCTATGTACCATAATTCAATGTCACGAATTTTGGCTTGCAAATGGGGAGGAAGCCTTGCAGGCTCATCCTTGCCACTCGCAGCCAAGCTCCTGAGGGCAGGCGTTGCAAGCCATGCTAGGCAGCCACCACCCTCTTCCATAACCAGGTATGGCCGATGCGCGAAGGGGTATGCATCCTACTACTTCTCTTTGGTCGAATGCCTACTGACATGGGCACCTTTCTGTGCAGGGTGGAGGTCTGTCCAGGCAGCGCCCTGGACCTGGCCTTCCCTGGGTCGCCGGTGGACGTCCAGGTTGGGTGCGGCGAACCTGAGGCCATCTCCCTCTGCACAAAAGATCTGGGAGGGGATTCCTGTGTGCAGCATGTGGTGCTGGACCTGGGACGCACCCGCCTCAGTGTGGCCCCGGCTGGCAGCGGGGCCTTACATGGCAGCGTCGCTGCCAGCATCCCTGCCAAGTACACCAGTGTTTCGATCATCACGCGAGGTGAGCCTGCGCTCAGTGACACCCCGCCGGCATGCGAGGAGGTAGGGTTGAAGCATTCTGCTCAGGTTGAGCTTTCCAGCGACGCGTATTCCACCATCCAGCATCCCAAGTGGTCCATTGCAAACCCCCAAACGCATCCAGGAAAAGCAACTTTGGAGGGTGTGAGCGAGGCAGCACTCAGTGTGCAGACCCAGGGCGGCGACATGTCACTGGGCAAGGTGAAGGCCAGCTCGCTGACCGCGCGGAGCGGGGGAGGGAGGATCTTCGGATCCCTTGTGGGCCACACTGTGCGGATTGAGAGCGAGGGTGGGAACGTGACCCTGGGAAATCTGTCCGGCGAAGACGTCAGCGTGGCCACCCGGGGAGGGAGCGTGCAGGCAGCGGCTGCCTACGCTGCACAGCTGTCAGTCTCATCAGGTGAGGGTTGCAGTGCATGGTTTTGCGATACCGGGGCACTGCAGCTCCTGGAATCATGCAAGACGCACCCTGGCTGCAATGGCTATGGTAGGCACGCAATTGATACGGCAGGCACGCATTGGGGCTGTGCAGGCAGCCTGTTGAAGTTGCCCACGTCCTTTATCACAGGCGGTGGCCCCATCACCGTGGACTCCATGCGGTGCGGGTCAGCAAGCCTCGAGTCGGGCGGTGGTACAATCGAGGTGTCGAGCTTGGATGGCGACGCAGTCATACGGTCAGGAGGAGGAGCCATTCAGGTAGGGTCTTCGGCTCTTCGGGTGCGTCCGGTGACCCCTCGCCCATCCGTCGCACCATGCCGACCATCCCATGCCAGCGCCCCGACGCAGGTGCATGCTCAGCCAAACGCGGGTAATTTGCGATTGTACAGCGAAGGTGGGCCTGTACACCTCGCCTGGAGCTCGACGCTGGTGGGCACCGTGACCGTCGCTGCCTGCGGAAGCTTGCTCCTTCCCCTCGGATGCGAGGTGGAGGAGGGGCGCGGCGGGATGCGTGTGATATCTCCGACCGGGGTCAGGTACTTCGCGCCTGGGGCAACCCCCGGATGTTCCTGGACAGACTCCGTCAGTGGTCCCACACGTGGCTGCACCCTCCTGGTAGATACCGGTGGGTTCTGGTGGTGTGGAACAGGGGCTAGAGGCTGTCCACGCGATTCTCCAGCTTTCTCAATGGTGTGAAACGTGCCGCAGGTGGAGGCGGGGACGTCAAAATCAACGTCATGAGCTGGGCCGATGCGTTTCGAGAGAAACTTCTGACTCGTACTCGTCCGACCGAGGGTCCGTAAAGTACGCTTGGGGCGCCTCAAGAGACCTCTATCGACATTTTGCCCCTCACATATTGTCAAGGTGTGAGCATCTTGGTCGTCCTGCCTGATTGTACGCAAACAACCCTACTGTAAACCCCAGGGAGGCGATCGCAAATGACCCCGATAAGGGGCTAGAAGCTGTGGGATCAACCTATTGTGGTGGGGCGTTCTGGTTTAGACCACGATATCGACCATCAGACCCCCTCGTACACGCCGCAAAATACAATTAAAGCTAGATTTGACACGATTGGGGACATTTCTCCATTCCCGGAGATCCTCTCGAGGCGCTCCTCCAGCGCGGCTCAATACGCGGGACCCGAGCAGAGATTCGACATCCATCTGCGCAAGAGAGGAGGAGAAGTACTCCAGATCTAATATCTCGTGTGACCCTAGGAACCGACAGGTGGGAGTGTGAGCCCGGGCCTCTTCGTGTCCTGGTTCACCTCCGTCTGACACACCTAAAGTGTCGCTGAGGGCGGAGTCCCTCCCCGGGCATGCACGGCGCGGCATTGGCTCGTTTACCGTACGCAGAGGCTTGGAGGTAACCTAGGCCGGCAGTCTCGACCAATCGCGCAGGTTGCCGGAGCTATGGGGCCCGTGCGCTCGTCAGTATGACCTTGGCTGTTCCCAGTAACGTGGCCGACCACCTGCTAGAGAAGATTGTGGGAGGCGATATCAAAATCGCGGGAGGCTCCCGGCGATCTCACTCCACCAGCCCCACGGAGACGACAGGCGTGCCTGGCCTGGTGGGACCCGCAAGTGGCGGAGTCCCCAGCCCGAGGAATTCGGGAGGTGAGCAAGCCGTGCGCCACAAGCCCCAAGCTGCATGGAGTGGGCTTGGTTCGGACATGGAGGTCGTGACCATTGCTGAAACATTACCTTTGATGAGCTGTACTGGTCGCAGTTTGCGCGGGGAGTGGGCTTCACCAAGACACGAGGCTGAATTCCCCTCCCCAGTGTCGCGCTGGGCCCCCTCAGAATGCTCCATGGGAGGCCTTACCGCCCCCTGCTCCGGCCTGCCGACAATACCACCCAACAAACACCTCCCCGCTCATGCTCGGCCCGCAGAGATGAAGGAAGAGGTGTCCGAACGGGACACCCGGGCGGGCATGGACGACAAGTCCATGCTGGAGTCCCCACAGGAGCACGAGATAGCGGCCGCCCTGTTCGACCTGGCCAACGTTGCCAGCGCGGGGCAGCTGGAGGGGCGCGGCGAGTCCGACGCCCCCAGCCGGCCCGGGAGCGGGAGCCCCGCCGCCAGCGCCAAGCGCGGCGCAGCGGGCGAGGGCGCGGCGGCGGAGACGCAGACGCGCAAGCGGCCCCGCAAGCCCAACCGGAACCTGGACGCCTACCACGGCTACCAGGGTGAGACGCCGGGGTGATCTGGCCGGTGTGCCTTGAGCTGATGGGAGGGTGGGGTTCTCCCGCCCTGGTGACTGTTCCGGCGGCGGCATGCTTGGAGGAGGGGTGGAGGGGGTTGAGCTGCAGCGCTCTGTTGCCAGGGGCGCGAAGATATGGGCCCCAATCGTGGCTTGGGTGTCCTCTCTTGCCATGTTTAAGTCATAGCCTTCTCCTTGACCTCATGCTCGGCATACACCATCCCCAATCCCTCTGACCCCACCACATACACACAGACAACGATCCGGACGACATGGAGCCGGAGGTGGGCCCCCCGCTGCGCCACAGCACTGCCAACTGGGCCCGCGACTCCCAGCCCCGCCCCGAGACCTCCACGGCCGACAGCGTCAGCGCCGGCAGGCCCGGCCTCGATGCGTCGGGCGGCGGCGCCGCGGTCGCCCCGCGCGGCCCGCCCACCGGCCCCCGCACCGCCCGCCACGCCCACGCCCCTGGCGCGGGCCTGACGGGTCCCCGCTGCATGCTGCACGCGCGGATCGCGCTCTGGATCCAGGGCGTGCAGCGCGCCTCGCGCGGCACTCGCGGGCCCGCCGACCAGCTGCGCGCGAGCGTGCAGCCGGCGCACAAGGCGCAGTACCATGCCACGGGGCATGCGGGCCTTGCCGCGCAGCAGCTGCTGCAGCAGCAGGCGGCACAGCGCGCCGCGGCGGCGGGGCCCCAGCGGCGCCACCCCCACGAGGCGGGGGGCGGGGACACGCGCGCGCTGCTGGAGGCTCAGCTTGCCTCTCGCCTGGGTGAGGGGTCGGGAGGGGTTTTGTGCAGTCTCCTGGTGCAGAGGGGATTGTGGGTGTTGATGGCGCCTGGTCCTGCCAGCAGGAAAAGGGAGCAACAGCCCCTCCGTGATGGCAGATTGGGGCATCAGCTCTCGCCATGACCGTTTTCTCTCCCCTCACCAGCCATTGTTTACCCAATCCCTACCCCCACCCCTTGTCCTCCAGGCGCGCGCCAGCTGGACGGCCTGCTGGCCAACCTGCCCCCTGGCTCCATGAACCTGTTGGCCAACCTGCTGAGCGCCCAGGGTGGGGCGGGTGGCCAGCAGCTGGGCGCCCCCACCCAGCATCGCGCGGCCCCTGCGGGCCACCTCGGCCCGCGCGCCCAGTTCAACGGCTACCACGCGCAGTACGGCGGTGGTGCTCCCCCCGCCCCCGCCCCGCAGCAGCGCCCGTCCCTGTCCAACCTGCCGGAGCTGCTGGCCCAGGTCATGGCCCAGCAGCAGGGCGGCGGCGCCAACGGCGGCGGCCTGGGCCCCGGCGGCCCGGGTCTCCTGCATGGCGGCGGCGGCCAGGCCGGGTACGGCGTGCGCGGCGCGGTGGGCCCTGCGGCCACGGCGCGCCTGCAGCAGCTGTACGCTGGGCACGCTGCACAGCAGGCGCAGCAGGGCCTGCACGGCCTGCACGGCGCGGGCGGCCTGGGCCAGGCAGCGCACCTGGGCTACGGCGGCGGCGCATACGGCGCGCGCGCGCAGGGGCCGGCGGCCGGCGGCCCCTCGCCCGGCCCGCCCGACGCGCTGGTGCAGTCGGAGGTGGCGCAGGCCCTGCGCGCGCTGCAGGGCCTGGTGCCCGGCGGCGGGGGGCAGACCCGCCC